GTCCTGGCTGGACATTCTCCATGGCTGACTTGCCCATGTGGCCAGAGGCCTGACATAGCTGAGGATTCACTTCTCCTGCTGGATCCCTCACTGTGGCAACTTGAGCATCCCCAAGACAGGTCAGTGTCTGGCTGCAAGGTCATCTAGTCAGCATCCCTTGCATTGCTGAGCTTATCAGCTCCACCAGCTTCCGTTGTGGGGAGAGAAGAGTTGGAGGCTATCAAACTTGGGTGTTGGAAGTTTCAGCCCAGTGACCTTGGGCAGGCCACTTCACCTCTCTGTTTGCTGTTTCCACTTGTGAAATGAGATAGCAGCACAACCTCACAGGACCATTGGGGGCAGGGGAGAGTTCCACCCCTACAATGATTTGTACCCATTGGGTGTGAAGCACACTAGTGATGAACAGGCTGTGGTATTGTAGATTACCCTACATGTACTAGATGCTCAGTGCACTGTCCAGGGACTTTCCACCACACACAAAGAGGAGGGTCTAGGGACACATACCCTGGGTGCCACAGACCCTACATGGACCTTTCCTGTGAAGGCACTTTCACCCTGGATGGACTGGGGATCCCAGGTATGGAAGCAGGGCCTGGATGGAATCTTTGCTGAAAAGGTCCCCCAGGGAAGGCGCTGCTTGCAGCATCAGCTGGAGCCCACTTCCTGGTGTCCCAGCTGAAGGTAAGGGCTTAGAAGTGGCCATGAGCAGAGAGGACATGAGAGGAGGGAGAGGAGCTAAATAAGAACCCTGCCTGGACAGCGGCCACCACCTACCACCCAGACAGCCATCCTGCCCTCCCTTTCTGCCCGAGCCAGAAGACTCTGGGGAGGATAGCAAGGCAATAGCCTTGAGACAAAATTTAAGGGGTGCCAGAAGACTCAGACATCAGTATTTTAATACAGCATTTCAACATAATAATAAAGGGCCAGCCAGATAGCTCAGTGGATTAAAGCGCCTGCTTAGGTAGATGCAGAGACCGAGGTTCAACCCCTAGTGTATTGTGCTGGTCCCGCCCCGAGGACACACTGAGATGGCTACTGAGACTAGGTGTGGTGATGTGTGCCTGTAATCCCAGCACTTGGGAGGCTAAAAACAGGAGGATCACTATGAATCTGATTTGCGTAGTGAGACCCTGTAGATCCTGTACTAAAATATATTAATAATAATTAAAAATATTAATGCAAATAAATCCATGATGGAAAAATATCAATATTTTAAGCCATTTTCTACTCTGGCCCCTCTTTCTCAATTGTCCACTCTCAGCCCAGTCCCTGGGGTGCCCAGTCCCAGGGATACCCCGCCAGCACTTCATGTCTCTTACCTTCCCCATATGTTCCACAGGCTGGAGGCTCCTGGGTTCGGGGTCTTGCTCCGTGGAGCTGCAGTTGGGGCCAGCGGCTCCTGGGTGCCCCCAGCCAGGCCTAGTAGCATCAACAGCATCAGAAGTTCCTTGCACCTCCTGGGGAGAAGGCCTGGCTCACCAGGGAGCTTACGGCCCACTTGGTCTGTCCCTGGCTTCATCTGCACTCAGGACCAAAGTATCTCTGGACCCACGCGTTGTTGGCCTCCTGGAGGACGTGGTCCTGGTCCTCCTGTTGGCTTCAGCCACACCAGTGCACACAGATCTGGACACGCAGCTCATCCTCAGGCTGGATGGGCTTGGGTCCCCCCGCCCCCAGGGCCCAAGGCTATTACCCCTGGGGATCTCTCCCAGAAAGACACCTGTTAACTGCCCTGCTGTGGTTGGCACCAGGACTCAACTGCTTCCTACGGCAGTCACCACCTCTGGGGCCATGTGTCTGGTATATTTGACCCCCTCTGGTTCCTCATTTCCCCAAGGGGCCCTGAGTTTGTGGAGCGTGTCCCTGAAGCCCGGAGAGCTGATGGAGAGCAATCTGGTGCTCAGGAACACGTTCTTTTCGGGGCTCAGGGGGTGGCACGGGACTGGGGCTCTTCCACCCATTCTTCTCTCTTGCTCGCTGGCCCACCCTTATGCTATAGGGCGTATTTCTTTACTTTTACTTGGCCCAGATTTGATCTACAGAGCCTGTTTCTTTTCCTACCTTTACTAAAGCTTTGCTACCATTAAAAAACAGAGTGAGATGAGGGTGTAACAAAGGAGATCAGAGGGGACTCAGAAATGCTAGAGTAAGGAAAAAATTACAAAAAGAAAGAAAGGTAGTTTGTCCATTTGAAGCCCATTTGGGGTTTTCTAACTGGGACTTATGAAAATTAGGCTCTTATCCTCCCCCAGAGCCTGGGCAACAGGTCTCCTGCCTTCAGGTGCTGGCTGTAACAAAGAATAAATTCTTCATGTAGTTTTCTAAGATAGGCATTTTAATGGGGTTTAGGGTGATTCTAAAGATGTAGCCTTGAACTGTTAAGAATTATGTTAAACATTTGTTGAAATCTGTATAGGCCACGATTGCAGTCTAGTTGAAAAAGGGTCCATAGGAACCTGGCTAGAGTGTGGTCAAGGAATCATCATTATATTAACAACCACCTATTATTAAATAACAGAAAAGCTCTGCAGAATATACACTGAGTATTACATCAAGTGCTATCCAATATGCTTAGTCATAAGCTTAATTAGCAATGACTAGTAAGTGCAGGAAGAATACACCTAAAGTACCAGTAATACAAAATAATGGGCATGCCACAGTGTTGGATGGAAAATGTGAGGAAAACATACATGTATACATAGACTTTTTACTAATTGTCAAACAAAAATCTCCAACTTTAGAGTAAGCAAGTTATAAATCAGGAGGCACTAAAATAATAACTGGGAGGGCTGGCCAGATAGCTCAGTGGATTAAAGCGCCTGCTGGAAGACAGGGACCAGGGCTCAATCCTGGGTGTGCCCCATGCCGGTCCCACCCTTGGGGCACGCTGAGATGGGGATTGAGACTGGGCATGGTGGTGCACCCCTGTAATCCCAGCACTTGGGAAGCTGAAAGCAGGAGGATCACTACGAGTCTGATCTGTGTAGTGAGACCCTGTAGACCCTGTACTAAATACATTAAATAAATAAACTAATATGAAGCAAAAATGAACAAAGGAATGGAACAAAGGGACTTAAGTAAAAAGGCAGAACCTATGTGAAGGCCTCCTATAAGGGTGCCCTAGCACCCTGATGGACTACTTGGACCTGGGTCTGGGCTGAAGAAAAGCAGCCTGCCCCTTCCATCTGTGCTTAAATGGGCAGTATAAGCTTCCTGGAGGTCACACTAATCTGGTGATCCTCCTGGACCAGTTATCTCTGAGCCTGGGTAGGACTGATGCAGGAATGAGAAAAGGGGACCAAAGCAGTATGTAGTTGCTATGGCATTCTGGGAGGGACGGGCCTGGCAAGCTACCCCATGCACGATTCATCAGATGGAACGGATATGTAAGAAGGCAGGAGAAAGCACCCATGGCTGATACTTGCTCCAGGGAAAACCTTTCTAAAAACAAGCCACCTGTTGCCCATCTGGGGGTGATTGGACAGCCTGTGTCCATGTGTCTATCCTCTTTCCCCATCCTGTCTCAGACCTATGCTATTTCTCCCATATTATCTCTTTTTAATGTATGATATATTTTCAAGTTGTTTTGTTTTCAATTTTTGGTTTGCTGGTTGTTTTCTGCTGGTAGAAATGAAAACTCCAGGAATCATGATTCCAGCCACCTAACAGAATTAGAGAACAGCAAAGTCTTTGAAACCCCCAAATTCACTCAGTCATACATTCACAAAGTGTCTCTTCACAGGTCTCATTCACTTATTTACTCAGGCTGGGGAGATAGCCCAGTGGAATAAGTGCTTGCCTGGCAAGCGCAAGGTCCTGAGTTTGATCCCTGGTACCACCAAAACCAGAACAAAACAAAACACACATTTATTTACTCAACTCTCTTCTCATCTAGTGCTTATCAAACACGTAACTGATCCTGTTCACTGAGAGCTCCCAGACTTGTGCAGGAGGGAGCTTTGCTAAATAAAATCATAGCTGTGTGGTAGGTGCTAAATATAGTTAGGAAAACAAGCTATTTGTGCACTGGAGGAAGCTAATAACTCCATAAAGGGGGGAAGGAGCCATCTGGCCAAAGAGAGTTGATATCATTGTGGAACCCCCAATGAGTCGGTGCAGCTCCCAGGGGATACCACGAAGGAACAGGAAGACTTTCTGACAAATAAACATTTAGTGAAAACATTTGGAGACAAGCAAGTGAGTCAGGGGCTGATCAATAGCAATTTGCTTAACACGGCAATAATGGATGACAAAGGGATATAGAGAAGTGGGTATACGAGAAGTGAAAAAGGGTATATGAGAGAAGGAGTATACGAGACGCAACCTTCACAGGTTGTGTCATGATAAGGAGCCTGAATTTTGTCCCTTCAACCCAGCTGGCTTTTCACAAGCTGAAGGCAGATATGGGCCATCTAGAATGTGGCTGGACTAAACTGAGAAGAGCCAAAAGTATAAAATATATCCTGTATTTCAAATATAAAAAAAAGTTTAAGCGGTGTCATAACTGCCTTTCATATTAATTGATCATTAAAATGATCATATTTGGGGCATATTATATTAAATAAATATGCACCATTAGAGATCATCTCACCTGTTTTTGTTTTCCTCTTTTTTTTTTTTTTTATAATAGTGTCTCCTCCCCACCCCCGGGGCATGGTGAGACAGACACTGATTGAGACTGGGCATGGTGGCGCATGCCTGTAATCCCAGCACTTGGGAGACTATAGACAGGAGAATCACTATGAGTCCGATCTGTAGTGAGACCCTGAACACCCTGTAGACCCTTCCCTAAAATACAAAAAATAAAAAAAATAGTGTCTCCTTGTGTTGCCCATGATGGCCTTAAACTCCTGGGTTCAAGCAATCCTCCTACCTCAGCCTTCCAAGTTGCTGGAAATATAGGTACATACCACAGAGATGAAAAGCAAGAGAGTCAGGATACAAGCAAAAGACAGAGTTCTTTGGGAACCGCCCAGCTGGCCTTTAGAAATGTGGACCTGGAAGCTCTTGCCTGGAGTAAAAGCTTATGGGAAAGCTTAGTGGATTTGAGGATAGAGAAGCAGAGGGGCCCTGAACATGACACGAGCTTTCCACAGGAGGAAAGACTGCTAGTGACATGCCTACCTCTGAGGGACCTGTAGGATCTTTTTAGCAGCGGTAAATAGATGTGCTCAGTCAAACTTGGGATGATGGAGAGATGATTTACCTGGCACCTCCCTGAGTGGGAGGCAGATCCAGACACTGTGTGGGCACCCTGCATACAGGTGTCTCTTTGCAGGGCACATTTTGACTCACCACCCAGGAGTTCAGGGTGTCATTCTCTTATGGAGACTGGAGCTGTGGGATCCTTCTGGTTATACTTTCATTCAACAAATCCAGTGTGGCTTCCATAACACCAAGCTCCTTATGCCTCCAGATCTGTCCATGGGCTCAAGATCCCTGGGGTCACCAAGCAGGCAGAATTGAGGAAGATCCTTATGATCCCACAAAGCATGACTTGATTGAAACTTGGAGGCAGGAACCAATGATTCCCTAAAGCAGGGGTTGGCCAACTGTGGGCTATGTGTCACATCCAGCCCATTTCTTCCTGTACGTTAATAGGAACACAGGCATTCTCCCTTGCTCACTTATCATTTGTGGCTGCATTCTTGCTATAAGAACAGACTAGAAGTTTCAACAAAGACAGTTTGGCCTATAGAGCCAAAAATAGCTCCTACTTGGCCCTTTATGGAAACTTCCATTCTCCTGTCCAAAAGAACAAATACATTCTCTAATGGAGACCAGTAGCCAACTTTGCCACTCTAGGAGCATTTGGCAGGGTCTGGAGACATTTTGAGTTGTCGTAAATGGGGGTTGGGCATCTGGTGGACTCAGTATCTTATAGTACAAAGGACAGCCCTAGGATAACGATTTGTTGGGTCCAAAATGTCACTAGTACCAGGATGGCAAGTATTGCTCCAGGCCTATTCACTTGGCACACGTTCTCCTCCCCAGAAGCCCATCAAAAGCATTTGCTTAGGGCTGGCCTGATAGCTCAGCAGACTAAATTGCCTGCTTAGGCAGAGTGCAGCTGCTGGGTTTGATCCCTGGTGTGCCATGCTGGCCGGTCCCATTGGGACCCTCTGGGACAGTGATTGAGACTGGGCATGATGGCATGTGTCTGTAATTCCAGCATTTGGGAGGCTGGAAACAGAATAATCTCTACAAGTTCAATCTACATACATAGTGAGACCCTGTAGACCCTGTCAGTAATAATAATAATAATAATAATAATAATAATAATAATAGCATTTTCTTAACTTTGTACACCTGAAACTGCTGGCCATAACTAAATAACAAAAGAGAGTCTGACCCTTGGCTCAAATGTTCCTCCTAAGGGGGTTTTATCAACAATCTCTTTCCTCCCTGATTTTCAAGAGTAGGAGCTCAAGAGAGCACTGGGCATGTGACCATGATTGGCCAGTTTCCTGGGACCTTTGCCCTAGTTTGGTTTTAGATTCATCCTGTGAAATCATGTACCAGGTAGATCAAACTCAGAAGGAAAAAAAAAAAAACCAAAACCAAAACACAACTTCCCAAGATAAACAGCTTTAATTTTGTAATCCAGCCACCAGTAGGGTTACAGCCACACTGGGGGACAAGGAGAAGGTGAGCAGTTTCCTCTCAGCTCTGCGTAGCCCTGTGGTTCCGCGATCTCTGCCACACCGGTTTCTTCTAGCAAGCCCATCTTCAGTCAAGGTATATTGGCCCTGAGTACCTGGGATACTGAAGCATCGGAGACCTTTTCTTCCCCACTTTCCCTTTCTATTTCCTTCTCCCTCTCTCTATTCTGTGTCCCCAAAGCACAGTAATATACAGCCTCATCTTCAGGCTGCAGCTCAGAGATGCTCAAATATCCCTGGTTGCTGAACAAATCTTTGGATCCAGAGAAGCGAGGGGGGACCTTAGGGCCCTGGTGCTTGTCTGAGTATGAGAAGTATCTCAGCAGGAACCTTGGAGGCTGGCCTGGCTTCTGCTGGTACCAGAAGATGCTATAAAAACCAATATTATGGTCACTGCTCAAGGTGCAGGTTAGGCGGACTGAAGTTCCGAGGGATGAGGCGGCAGATGACGGCTGATGCAGCACGGGCTGGGTGCTATAACCTAGCAACACACAAGCATGTGGGTCCCCAAGGAAGGGCAAGGCAAGGGAAGGGGTAGGGACTTTGGGCTAGGGGGGTTTCCTCACCTGTGCAGTAGGCCAGGAGTATGAGTAGGACAGGAGTACAGGACATGATGCCGATCTGTAGAGCTCTGTGGCCCTCATGGGCTGGGCTAGCATCCTCCTCTCTCTTCCAAGAGGAGGGGCCATCGCACCTCTGGTTCTGTTCCTGTCACTGTCATCCCAGGTTCTCTTGGGTTTGCAGTGTCAGTTAGGGGAACAGTTGGTCAGTCTGATGAGCCTTTGAGGCTTTGATTAGCCATGGGGAAGGGCTGGGAAGGAAGCACCTGCTGGCAGCTCATGGACCAGTGCCCATGAGATAGATGGGTTGGTGCAGGCCCTGAGAGACAATGGCCCTGAATCCCCCTGAGGAAGCTGAGCCCCTCAGAAAAATAAGTTTCTTGCCTAAATTTAAATGCTTGGTGAACCAGGAAGAGAGGATACATCCTCAGGGTGGTGAAAATACTTTGTTCATGCAGCAGAAAGTTTGGGGGTTCTGAAAGAAATGGGGTGCTCTGACCCATTCTAAACTCCATAGGGACTTCAGTCTGGATTCTCTACTTCCTAGAACAAAGTGGATTTATGGGGTTTCAAGAGCAAAGCATGGGGAATCCAGCATGAGTCCCCTCCCAACTTACTAAGCAGGTACACTTTGTCCCTCTTACAGACTAAATTGTGCTTCCACCCCAATCATATACTGAAACCATAACTCCCAGCATGACTCCTTCTGTAGATAAAGCCTTTAAGGAAGTAATCAAGGTTAATTGAGATCATAAAGATGGAGCCCTGACCCAAAACAACTGATCTCTTTATAAAAATGGGAAAGCTAGAGATAGACACAAATAGAGAGAAGATGGAAAGTGATGTAGAGAGAAGTCGGTCATCTCCATCCTGACAGAGGTCCTTCCTCCAGAGCCCTCAGAAGGAATCACACCTGCTGGCAACTTGATCTTGTACCTCAGACTTCCAGAGCTGTTAAGCAATTAATTTCTGTTATTTAAGCCACCCAGCCTATAGTAGCTCATTACTGTGATACTAGGAGTCAAACATAATTCTTATTGTAGGCTATTGTAAAAAAGAATACGATAGGTTGAGTGGCTTGTAAATAACAGAAATTTATTCCTTATAGGTCTCAAATTTGGAAAAAGTCCAACATCAAGGTTTACCTGGGGGTGGGGAGATGGCTCAGTGGAATAAGCTCTTGCCTGACAAACTCAGGGGCCTGAGTTCAATCCCCAGTGCCCCCCCCAAAAAAAAAGGTTTAGCAGGTAGGGTGTCTAATGAGGACCCATTTCTTGGTTTATAAGTGATTGCCTTTTCACTGTACCCTTGCATAGTGGGTGTTTTCTGGATCTCTCTTAGAACCCTAATCTCATTTATAGGGTAATAACCTATGCCTCCATAACCTAATCACTTCTCATAGGTCCTACCTTTTTTATCTTTAAACAGGCAAAAGTGAAACAGTGTGTGTTTGGCAGAGATACATAGTTGGGAAAAATACAAAGACACACATGTGGAAACATCATACAACCCAACTACCAGGGAGAGGGTGACGTATGTGGTCCAGAAGGGTGCTCAGGGACCTCACACTGGGAGACCTGTAGCTTCACCTGGGTGCTGGTGCACTGGTATTTGCCTTAGTATTCTTTTTTTTTTTTTTTAAATTAAAAAATGTATTTACTGGGGCCGGGGAGATGGCTCAGTAGAATAAGTGCTTCCCTGGCAAGCACAAGGGCCTGAGTTCAATACCCGGTTCCGCCAAAAAAAAAAAAATCCCAACAAAAATACTAATTTCTATAGGGCTGGTGAGATGGCTCAGTGGTCTAAAGCACCTACTTAGAACAAGCTTAGCAAAGCATCAGGGACCCCGGTTCAATCCCCCAGCACCACATGCCAGCCAGCCCCGTCCCCTGGTGGGCTGAGCTGGCCACACACACATACACATAAATAAAATAAATAAAATTTAAAAAAAATGTATTTACTTAGAAGCATTCAGAATGTCAACAAAACAGTTGCAACTTTTCTTTGCAATTATAGAGTGGTATTCAGTTAACAGAACAACAATTATTTTGTATATGCTGCATCAGAGACAACTGGAGATGAAAAACTACCGACCCCCCATATATAACTAATTTGTGCTGTGCACCAATAAGAAACTGCTTTAAATTTCCCTGCCAATTTACACCCCCCATACTGTGCCAGGCAAGGTTAGTGGCTATTGAAAATACCACCAGGACAGGGCTATCTACTGACACATTCGGTAGTGTGTTAACTATACAAAAAAAAGACACTGTACAGTTTTTTGTTTTTTTTTTTAATTTTTTAATTTTATTTATTTGTGTGTGGCCAGCTCAGCCCACCAGGGGGCCGGGCTGGCTGGCATGTGGTGCTGGGGGATTGAACCACGGTCCGTATGCTTTGTTGCAGCTTGTTCTATCTCTAAGTAGGTGCCTTAGACCTCTGAGCCATCTCACCAGCCCAGACACTGTACAGTTTAAAAACAATTTTTTTTTCTGTTGTGGAACCGGGGATTAAACTCAGGCCCTTGGGCTTGCCAGGCAAGTGCTTATTCTACTGAGCCATTTCCCTGGTCTTAAAAACAAATCTTACACAGCCTTACATTTCAATTTTATTTTTTTCTTCAAAAGGAGTGAGTTGTGTACAGGGGGATTAAATGCTTTATAGAAAAGAAAAAAAAAAACTGTGCTAGAACCAACTTATTCATCATCATCCTCTTCTTCATCTTCTTCCTCCTCTTCCTTCTCATCTTCCTCATCCTCCTCCTCTTCTTTCTTTTTCTTGCTTTTTTCACCTTGATGACTCCCTTTTTTGCTGCATCAGGTTTTCCTTTAGCCCAGTAATCAGCGATGTCCTTTTCATACTTTTCCTTCAGCTTAGCAGCCTTCTCGTATGGCTGCTTGTCATCTGCTGCAGTATTATTCCACATTTCTCCAAGTTTCTTTGCAACATCACCAATGGAGAGGCCAGGATGTTCTCCTTCGATTTTTGGGTGATACTCAGAACAGAACAAGAAGAAAGCTGGAGGCCTCTTGGGCGCATTGGGATCCTTGAACTTCTTTTTTGTTTCTCCTTTAGGAAGAATATAAGTTTTCATTTCTCCTTCATAACGAGCCTTGTCCGCCTTTGCCATATCTTCAAATTTTCCTTTTTCTTTAGCAGACACAGTCTTCCACTGCTCTGAGTACTTCTTTTTTTTTTTTTTATTTTTTTTTTCTGAGTACTTCTTAGAAATCTCTGAGAAGTTAACAGAAGCATCTGGGTGCTTCTTGTTGTGCTCCTCTTGGCAAATTTGCACAAAGAATGCGTATGATGACATCTTGCATCTCGGCTTCTTAGGATCTCCTTTGCCCATGTTTACTTGTTTTCCTCAGCGAGGTACAGAGTCGCCCAGTGCCCGTCCGGCTCTCACTTGCCCCGGAGCTTCTCTATGGAGCTCACTGTACTCTGATTTAGTATTCTTGAAGTACATTATGGCATATTATGCACATTTCTGTATTTATGATATCTTATAATAGAAATTAATTTACCTTGTGGGTACCATTAACTACTGGTCAGCTTTTTTTTTTTTTTTTTTTTTTTTTTAGCTCAGAGTCTACAGGATCTACAAGGTCTCACTATACAGATCGAACTCATAATGATTCTCATGTTTGCAGCTTCCTAAATGCTGGGATTACAGGCCTGTGCCACCATGCCCAGTCTCAGTAGCTATCTCAGCTCGCTTTGGGGGTGAGTCCAGGATGGCAGGCCGGGGATCAAACCCTGGCCCCTGCGTCTGCCTAAGCAGGTGCTTTAATCCATCAAACTATCTGGCTGGCCCTACTAATGGTCAACTTGTAACACCCAGTTGAACTGAGTCAGCATGGTCCTGAGTATGGACGGCCCACTTGAGAATTGTTGCCAACAGCATGAAAGGAGAACTTGAGGGGAAGATGGCACATTGTTTCTTAAGAAGCTTGTCATGCTGGTTGGAACTGAGCTGATATGAACTGAGCTATTTTCATTGGAGGAACTGAGGTCCTTGTTGCTGAGGTTGGCTACAGTTCTTTTCAAGGGAGCTCTGGTCCTTACCCTTGAGCTTCACTTCCTCGGTCCAGTGCAAATCCCTCAACCTGGTGGCACCAATCCTATATCCCACTGGTGCAGAGTTTCTAGCTTCCACTACTGACCTTTGGGGCTTTCCAGTGTAGATCCTTGGTACAGACTTGCATAAGACATTGTTGTGGGCTCTAGGCCTCCAGCTAGCCTCATGCAGGACATCGCCATGGGATCCAGGCCCTCAGCTGGATTCTTTCGGTCTCTGGCACGTGGACAGATCTCTTGCCCTCCTCTGCACTTGACTTTTTGGGTGAATATTATAAAAGAATCTTATAAATTATGCATCCTGTATTAAATCTATCCTCTTGCAAACCCTGATTATAACATCACGTTTTCATTTAACTTCTGGTAATAAAATACTTTATTAGTACCATTTAATGTAAAAAAACATAGCAATGGTTCTACTCCTTAGCTTCCATTTTTAGATTATAAACTAGTTTAAAAAATAGGAGTAAGGGGCCAGGGAGATGGCTCAGTGGAATAAGCGCTTCCCTGGCAAGTGCAAGGGCCTGAGTTCAATCCCTGGTTTCGCAAAAAAAAAAAAAAAAAAAAAAAGGAGTAAAAGAGAAATCATTTGATTCTCTCACAAAGGCAAGTGAGAACTTACCTTTGCAAATAAATTCTCTCATTTGGATACCACAATTCACTAGTCTTCATAATAAATAGCTGCATACAAAGGGAGACAATGACCTACATTATTTTGGAGAGCACTTTCTTTTTTTTTTTTCTTTTTTTCTTTTTTATTTTATTTTTTTTTTTGAGAGCACTTTCATATATTTTAAGAAATACTTTCTGTGGGGAACTACTCAGACTGCTTCAAAGCTCAGGAAAATATGCATGCACCAATGAGGCTAGCATGTAAAAATGTGAATATGAAATAACTATGTAAGAATGATACAATAAAGACTCAGGCACTCTTGTGCTCTGCTCTGCTCCATGCTGCCTGCTGTTCTGCTGGTGCTTTGGCACCCTGTGTTCTTCAATCGGGTACCTCACCTGTGAAAGTCTCCCTTGGGCTCCCTGAGTGGGCCAACACCTACCCAACTTAAAATTTATAAGAATAATTATTTGGGGCTGGAGAGATGGCTCAGTGGTCTAAAGCACCTACTTGAAACAAGCTTGGCAAAGCACAGGGACCGCGGTTCGATCCCCCAGCACCACATGCCAGCCAGCCCCGCCCCCTGGTGGGCTGAGCTGGCCACACACACATACAATAAATAAATGTAATAAATAAAAATAAATAAATAATTTTAAAAAAAAGAATATTTATTTAAAACTGGATTTATGTAGCACCTAGAAATTTGGAATTTATAACATTTTAGGTGATAATATTTACTGAGCAAAAACAGTAGTAATTTAACTCCTGTAAATTCAGGGTGTTTATATATAAATAACAGGTCCCTTCTAAAAGGCAGAGGTTACAAAAGCTTATACATGCCTTTCACCTTTTCTCCCTATTTCTGGATCTAGCAATTGGCCCGATTGTAAAAGGCCTGTGTGTAGTAAATATTGTAGTATAGTCTTATCTGAGTATAATTTCCCCGTCTTGTCTTATTGATGTAATACTTAAAACAACATCCTGTCTGTGATTGATAAATTTCTCTAAAGCTACTAGCCATTTTCCTTTCTATTAGAGTGCCACCCTTTCTTTGACAAGAGGCTGATCTTATACCTCATTTGTTTGTTTTGCCCCCTCTCTCCGCTCAGAGCATTCTAATACAGATACAGATGTAGCAAATATTAGTGTAGTAGAAAATGAAGGATAATGCATGTCAGTGAATGCATGCTAAGTGAAGAACAGCAAAGCAGGAACCACACCCTGCTTGCATGGCCAGCCTGAGCCTTCTGAGGAAGGCCCCATGTGTCTGGCTCATAGAGGCTTCTGCTGCAGACATAGCAAGTAGCCTGCATGGCAATAAATCAAATGTTCTGTTAAAAATGTTTCCATATTCATTTCTGTTCATTCAAAGCAGAGTACAGCAACTCTGACTACTAATCCAGAACATCATGATATACTTTTATGTTCTAACCTATTTTACATGTTTATGCATTTGCTTAGCAACAGGCCTCTGGGGACTAAGCAACAGTGGGTCACTTGGGGTCTTTTTTTCTTGTTTTAAATTTTTTTCCATAATTTTATTGAGAAACAAATAGCAATAAGACAGTTTCAAATCAAATTGGTAGGACAGTTTCAATAATTAACACATTGCATACTTTCTTCCTAGTGGTTATTTGCTGTACACGATGCAGATATGCTATCCTATTTACAAACACTATTAGAACAAATCCCTCTATTCATTAAGAGAATGTAACCATATATCTATTCTAA